CTCTCTAACTGGCCATGACACTCAAAGATGAAATAGAAATTTCTATATCAAACGAGAACACAAAAGAGGGCTGACCTTTGATCAAACGCTCGTTTGTAGTTTTGACAAGGAAATTTGCATGAAAAAAAAATGTGTGCTGGACACTTACATGAAAAGTTAAGTTCTAGCAAAGTAAAAGAGGCAAGAGGTCAAACTTCTTTAATAGCCTGTCAGATAAAAGCTGGATTCTCTCTGCTGCGCTCTTGGGAAGTTTTTCCGTTTGAAGAGTGTTTTAACGAGGACAAATGAAGCATTTGTTCAATGGAAATGAAATTCCATCTTTTCAAGTCAGAGTCTGGGCTAATAATGTTTTATCCTTCACTTGAAAGAGTGGAAAAAGCAACAGCCACAACAAATAGTAATAAAAATCCTCAGCAGTCAGAATTGCCTTCTATTAGATCTAAACCCATCTCTAGAATGCTAACTATCCATCTTTTCCATTCCTAGAACTATAAAATGTCATCAGCATGGAAATGACAGTCTTCAAATTGGATGTTTTAAAGGCTTTCTATATTAAATTAGTCATTTAGATTTTATGAATGTGTATGGAAATATGTATTCATAAAAACAGAGGAAATCAAATTATTGTTTTGTCTAGAGCATCCATCTGGAGGATAGATACTGTTTAAAGTGAAAATTCAAAATCTGCAATATGATAAAGCTGAATTGATCATATAATATTGTATATATACAATAAATAAAATTATATAAGATTATATTATATATTAGAAAAATATAAAATTTATAATCTGTATAATCTGTATATTATATATTAGAAAAATATAAAATTTATAATCTGTATAATATATAATCTGTATAATATAAATTATATATTATATTACATTATATACAAATATACTAGATAAATTGTTATATCATACATAATACATAAAATTATATATTATAATATACTTTACATAATATATAATCAATTCTGTTTTATCATCTTGTAGATTTTGAATATATATCATCTTCTAAAGATATTGGAGAGAGTGAGAGTTCCAAAGATAGTATTGTTTAGGGCATTCAGGGACACATCCCATTGGAAGGCCAGGCTTCCGTGGGGAGTTCCCTACTCTTACTTCTTAGGAAGTGAGGAAAACACTAAAATGGGAAACTGATAATTCAGCTGTTTCTGTTTTTACTCTGACATTTGATAGGATTAGAGGATGACAGGATGAGAACTGGAAGGAAAGGGAGGATCTGGCTAATTCTTTCCTGTAGCAGTGAACACGGCCCACCCTTCACCTGCTATTCAAAACCTTTGTCTTGTATAAAAGGGAGGAGAAGAAAAGGAGGCTGAATCTTCTGGCTTTCAGCATTCTTGAGTTCTCTATCATTGGCTGACTGCAGTGTGCAACAGCATCCGACCAGTCAGTGACAGTGTAACAGGCAAGTTAAAATTATAACACATTTCAGATTGGTACATACGTATTGTTTGTTTAGTTGTTTTTCAGTCATGTCTGACTCTCTGTGACCCCATCTGGAGTTTTCTTGGCAGAGATACTGGAGTGGTTTGCTATTTCCTTCTCTAGTTTATTTTACAGATGAGGAAACTGAGGCAAATAGGGTGAAGTGACTTACCCAGGGTCACACAGCTAGTAAGTTTCTGAGGCCAAATTTGAACTCAGATCAGAACTCCAGGCCCCCTACTCTATCCACTGTACCTCCTAGCTACCCAGTACACACATGTACCCCACACTATTTAAAAAATTCAGTTAATATATGATTATTGTGCATAACCCTGGTTTACTCAATACTCCACTGGAACCATGATTTCATTGATTTGGGTATTACCTTTTACTGTGCAGATAATCATCATCATTACCATAAACACTTATAAAGTGTTTTGAATTTTACAAAGTGGTTTATAAATATTATCTCATCTGACCTCGCAATGATCGAGAGATGGTTGCTGTTATTGTCTCATTTTACAGATGAAAAAGACTGAGGCACACAAAAAATGAGGCACACAGAGTGTGTTTCACTGGTTTACATTACTCAATAGGCAAGTGACTTGCCCAGGGTCATACAGCTTGAAAGGCTGAATTTGAACTCTGTTCTTCCTGACTTCAAGTAATACTCTATCCACTATGCTACCTAGTTGCCTTTTTTCCATCCCAAATTTCTCTGGTGACATCTCTCACCTTACTATTCTCTAGACTTCCTTGTTGTAGCACAGTGTAGCCTGCTCACACCCACAGTGAGGCTTTCTGTAGGCTTCTCAATATTTTCAACTTTTAATCCTTCAAGAATCTCTTTCTTGTAACCATACACATCACTAGAAAAATGTCGTTGCTAAAAAGTTGGGTATTTATAACTCAGCTTAAAATACTTAGCCTTTTCCTTTCTAAAGGAGCTACAAATGGGCAGAGCCCATAAGATGTCAATCGATCAACAAGTATGTATTAGGCACCCACTACGCAGCAGGCACTGAGCTAGGTGCTAGGGATATAAAGAAAGCCAAAAACAGTGTCTGCTGCTCCTGTCGTGGAGCCTCAGGGCTGGGCACTCAATCAAATGTCATCCAGCAGATCTGTTCCCATCCTTAAAAAAAGCCCAGGAGAGACTCTGATCTGGGATTGGTCATGAAAATGGCCAATCAGAATCTGCCCTGACCAGGAGCTGTCTCAGTACCCCTAAGCATGGCCTCAGGAACCTCATCATCATTGCCCTATCTCCCTGCAACGGCCCAAAGACTTTAATGCCTAATCTCATGCTCCCTTTTGGTTATCCTGCTACCTCATTTATTAACTGGGGAGCATACCAGAAGAGGGTTTGCAAACAACAATATTAAAACCTTCAACTGTTCAAAGTTGTCCCCTAGCAATTTGAGGGGAGAAATAGTCAGCTCCCCTCTGGGGACCCAATCTCCCTTTACAAGTTGGGGGTGGCATACGAATTGGTTCAGGGTGACATAAGCAGGTCCAGGAAACAAATTTTACAATTAGTACAATCATGTAAAATCAAACCGGATTGAGAAACCTCAGAACTTAAATCAATGCAACATCCAATGGTGACTTCAGAGGACTGATGATGCACCGTGATTCCTACCTCTCAGAAAAAAAGGTGGTGGACTACAGGTGTTGAATAAGGCATACATTTCAAGATTTTTATTTGATTTTGCTTAACTGTTACAAGGAAGGATTCTATTGGAGGGGTTGGGGAGTCTTTGGAAATTGACAGTGATGTAAAAAAGAAAAGAGGATCAAGAAAACATTTGAAAATATAGATAAGAAACATAGCATAATTTCTGTGAGTTAGGTTGACCCATTCTCTGATGCACAGTTGATTGCCTTAAGGAGGATGGAGAAATAGTGAGCCAGGTGAGACTTCATTATGCAACAAGATGTCGGAGAAGTGATTTGGGACTCTGAATGTTCTTGATTTACTAAGGCATGCTTTATCCTGAAGCTGTTGGGAAAGGACCAGGCACGTAATTGGAGCCACATTTGTAGGTGCCACAACCAGGCCCTTTCTCTGAGTTGAATGATTTAAGAAGATAAAAAATAAATGAGGTAGCAGGATAACCAAAAGGGAGTATGAGATTGAGTATTGGGTATGGTTGAAATATTCCTGAAATAGTTTACATGTTTTTTGAGACTGAATTTCCCTATCTTGTCCAAGATGGAAGAGCAGAAGCCACTCATGGGTCCAGTTGCAATAGTGGTTAGCATTAAGCTCTAACCTGTTCCATTTTTCCAACTGGGGTCCATCCACCCCTCCTCAGACAGTCCAGTGGCCCTCAACTCCTGGGGCTAACTATATTTTTGTTGGAATTAGCATAGACCTCGGGTTGGCTTCATTCCTATAGCAGCTTGGAACTCCTGAACTCAAGGTATCTGCCAGCCTCCACCTCTCCAGCATCAAGAACCTCAGGCCTATACCACCAGACCCAGAAAAAAGTAACACGTTAGTAGGATATGACTATAGCAAGCTGAATAGTGGCAAAGTTCCGCGTGGGAGAGAAAATTGTTCATGGTCCTTCAAGGCCAAAAGCCTATGTCCAGCCTCTATACAGCCCTTTGAAGTCATGTCAGGTTCTGTCATAATACAATAAACTAAGTCCAGGCCTAAGGTGTTCATTTCACGATTGCTAGAGTCAATTTGTTCTTGTGTGGCCTTCCCTATGTGGCTTAGCATTCTTCTGTTATGTGTCCTGGAAGGAGCTCATATCTTGGTTTTGTTATAAGCTGCCTGAGGTTTGGGGTGCAGAGAGCACCAAAGAGTTTGGGCAGTGAGTAACCACAAGGTTCTCCACCCACCCACCCACCAACCCCCAATGAGCTGGATCCTTGACATCACCTTATAACCATTGTCTATTCTCCTGAGTATACCTGTTTCAGGGGTCAAAGGACCATGGCACTTAGGGACTGTCAGACTCTGATGGTAGGATCCCTTTGAATGTTTGATTTATTGCTACGCGGTCCCTCTTCTCAGCAGCCTGCTTAGTGTCTTAGCTGGTGGCATTCGCTTGTAGCACAGCCTTCACCCATCATGGCCTGGTGCCCATCATATTCCTGGGTCTCACAGCATTGCATCCCCATAAGGGGACATGCTGGCCCCAACACCAGTTATGGTGCCTTCAGGTCCTCTTTATGGGGTTTTTCCTATGCCCATATTTTAAGAAAGGGTGTTTTACGTAGGGTAGGGAACCTTGATGATTAACATACTGTGTGGAATTAGCCCTATGAGATGGATGGTCACTCAGGCCTACATCCTATGCAACTCTCACTACATTATCATTTAATAACTTAATTGATCAATCAATGAAAATTTATTAAGTGTAAACTATGTGCCAGGCACTGCGCATATTTAGCTTGAATACGTGGTTTCTGTGTCTTTCACTCTCTGATTACTGAGCAAGTTTGAAAGGATTCTAATTTCTGACCTTCATTTTAAATAAAGTTGTTTCATTTTATTTTTCCCATTACATAGTTCCTATTTAACATTGGTCATACCAAGTTCACGTCCACATGTGGCATCACTGCTAGATGAGTTCTTGCCTCAGTTTCTGCTGGTCTGGAGTCCCAAAGGCCCCTCTTTGCTCCTGCTGCATTAGCTAGACTAGAGAACTTGGACTCTGGAATGCCAGGGTGCTGGTCAGAGGCTCCAATCACCTTTGCCTGAAAGGGAGAAGAACAAACACAGAGGTTAAAGACCAAATTCCTTTCACAGGGCCATATAGCCTCAGAGAGGGGAAATTCCCACGGGGTTTCTCCTATTGCATTGCCTCTCACTATTGCATGAGTGAAGGAGTCATGGAATGAGGTCAAGAGCCAAAAATTCACTTTCATGGCAAAAATTTGTGGTGTAGAGGAAAGAATGCAAGGTTTGCTGCAGACCTGGATTTAAATCGCAGCTCTGCTGCTTACTACCTGGGCAATCCTGGCCAAGTCATTTGACCTCTTTAGGTCTCATTCTGCTCATTTGAAAATTTAAGGAGATTGGACTAAGTGACCTGCAGGGTTGCTTCCAGATCTTAATTCATTATTTTCTTGGTCCAGTGGAGGAAACTGACATTTATTATATCATCCATTGAAGGCTTTGCCAAATAAGACCTCTCACATCCAATTTCAGGAAGATCCTTAAAACAGTTGCTACTTAATTACTGATTAATTACTAATTAAAATAATTACTAGTTTTTCTACTACTTGATTAGACCAGAATTGATCATAGCTTTCTAAAACTGTATGTTATTTCTTGATAGCTAAAATGAAAAAAAGAGATCTCTTAGATAGTCATTCTTTCCATATCTGATTATAGTTAATTTAGTGTTATTGTTGTTATCGAGTCATTTCAGTACTGTCTGACTCTTCATTACCCAATTTGGGGTTTTCTTGAGAAAGATAGTGGAATGGTTTACCATTTCCTTTTCTAGCTCATTTTACAGCTGAAGAACCAGGGCAAACAGGGTTAAGTGACTTGCCCAGAATACACAACTAGTACTTTAAGTATCTAAGGCTGGATTTGAATTCAGGTCTTCCTGATTCCAGGCCTAGTGCTCTATCCACTGGGCCACCCAGCTGTCCATTTAATTTAAAGGCTCTCTGTTAAATAGAATGGAGGGTGTCTGAACCATCTTGCTTAAGCAAAGATAAATGCTGAAGAGCATCAGAACTGAAGGCTAAAGACATGTCTGATCATGACATGGGGCATGGAGAGATAAATACAGTGGTATCTGGGTTCTTCTGTCTTTCATCAGAACAGCCAAAGTAGTTCTAATGTAATTTCCCTAATTTTGGGATCATTTGGGCCCAGCATATGTTATAAACTCAATCCATTTTGCTCAGCCCATATAGGCACTGGCTTGCACAAAAAAAATTGTTAAGGAGGTATCCATCTCTACCCAATAAACACACATAGTTTGTATGAGCTCTCGAAAGGTATCAGTAGGGAGAAGAGAAGTGCAGTGTTTTTGTTAGTGACAATTGATGCCTTTACAATTGAAGCAGCAAAATGCTTCCAGAGCCCTGCCAACAAGAAAGACAAGACAGTGTTCTAGCCTCTGTGCAGAGGACACATTGTAATCCATGAGCAATAGGGGTTTTTTTTGTCTCCGTACATTGTTAAATTGTTGGAACATCTTAGTTGCTGTATCTTTATTTATCATAGGTAAACCATTAGGTGTCTGCAAAAGTGATGAATTGTGTATCTCATTGGGAAATTAATGCCTTTTGGGGAGAAGTGATTTGCTGAACCACAGGCTAAGACAGAAATAAAGAAACTGGAAATAGCCTGAAAACTCCAATGTTTAGGAGCGATTGCTAAAGAAAATCCCACAAGACAAAAATAGAGCATTTTGGAGTTTGCAAAATGCTTCACAAACATTGTCTCATAATGAGTCTGTGAGGAAGGTATGGGGATGCAATGGAAAGAGAGATGTGTTTGGAGTCAGATGACCTCTGTTCAAACAGTAGCTCTGCCCTTTCCTTCCTGCATGACCTTGAGGAAGTCACTCAACCTCCCCGGGGCTCAGTTTCCTCATCTGTAAAATGAACAGGTTGGACTAGGTGATCTGGGAGAACCCCTTCCAGGTCTACATCTATGAACCTGTTTTACAGATGAGGAAATGAAGGCTCCCAGAGCTTGTTTAAGTGACTTGTCCACAGTCACACAGCTAGTAAGTAGCTGATGTGGGATTTGAACTCAGATCTCTCTGCTCCAAGTCTTGTACTCAATCAACTGTTTAACATGATGCCTTTTGGAAAAGGTATCCTACTTAGAATAAATGTTTAGAATAACACATGTATCCACTCTAGAGTTTATCCAATAATTAACATCTTGGGAGAAGTATACCCTAGAGTGGAAATAAACAAACAAAGAATACTGAGGCTCATTGTCAAGAACTTTCTCTCTGACTCTCAGGAAGTGAAAGTTTCTTAGAAGAATCAGTCACCAAAGTTTGTTGGTTTGTTCGTTTTAAATTTCTTTGAAAGCAAAACAGAAAGTAGATGACTTGAATGACTTTGGGAAGGAAGAGTGAGTAACAAACCAAGTCATGACATCCAAAGTTACAGGGAAATAGGAGGTAGTAGGATCTCTTGAAGTGCATGGCAAAAATACAAGGAGCCTGATAGGGTTATACAAATCAGGGTGCCCTGAACCCTTTTACTCTGGCTTCTTGTAGAAGTCTGCAAACAGCTGAAGTAGGAACCCAAGGAGATGCACAAACCAGCAAGTCTAGGTCGAGCTTCTGAAAGTGATAAATGATAATAGCGGTAATGCTAGTCCTTTACATATGTGTGTGTCTATATACACACATATACACATAGATTTGTGTATGTATACACACAGACATGCACATACATGTATGCATATGTATGCATGTATGTACACAATACATTAAACATATATAGACATGTGTGTATTGTAGATACATATACATATACATCGATTTATGTATGTATAGACACACATATATACATACTCATAGTATAAACACATATGTGTTTGCATATATACACATATATGTATATGCACACACGGATTTATATATGTATACACACATGCATGTGTGTGCATGCATGTATGCATGTACATTACATGTATACAACACACACGTGTGTGTAGATGCATTATGTACACATGGGTTTATATATGTATAGAAGCACAATATACATGTGCATGTGTATGTGTGTATGCATGCATGCATGCATTATACATGTGTTTATGTATACATGCATGTATGTACACACATGCCTATTTGTCTATGTGTACATTGCATGTTTTTATTTATAGATCTGTATGTATGTATGTATATTGTGTATGTATGTTGAAGGAAGCATTTCAGCTATGAGGCTGTTTTGCTAAGCCTAGCAATGGCAACTGGGTTGGAGAGCACCATCTGTGGTATGCCATGCCCTCAGCATCAGGGGTTAAGTAGCTCTGACACCAGCAGTTGCCCCTTTCTGTGCTTCTAACTTAAGATATATTAGGGGACTCTAATTATAGAACAGAATGCTAATGCTTCAAAATTCAGCTGTTCAGGTTTTTAGAATGAAAGCTACTCAGATTGGAGCACAAGAGTTTCCTTATGTAAGCAAAACGAACAAGGAGTTAAAGGCAGTTTCAAGTGATGAAACAGGATCTGCGGTTGAGAACAGAGGAGCATTTTGGTACCTCAGATTCCATCTGTCCATTTTCTGCCTCAACTTCCGGGACCCTACTCTCAGCCCCTCTGTGGGAATGGGTGCCACGTTTACAGGTAGACAATGTCTCTTGTGGCCATGTTGCTTCATTAACAACTTAATATAAACAGCAACACAACCAACTCCCCTTGCTTAGTAACCATTTACCCCACTACTTCAATGAACTGCTGATCTCATAAATGAAGATGTCCTCTCCAGTGGTGAGGATCATAACTCATTCATGCCTATCCATCCTGCATGGCTCTTCCAGGTCTTTTGTTAAGTTCGTCACAGGATATCCACCCAACATCATGGGGATTCCTCAATTTTTCATGATATCATAAGGATATCAGTGAAGAATGCAAACTGTTAGCCCTTGATCTCACCATGTGACCAAGCAGAGCAAATGATCATGGCATCACAGACCCAGAGCTGGAAGGGACCTTAGACCAACCCCCTCATTTTACCAAGGAAACCAAGGAAGTTGAGACAACATTACATAGGTAGTAAGTGATGCAATGGGGATTTGAATCCCCATTTGAATGACTCCATGCCCAGTACACTTTCCACTACACCATGAAGTTTATAAAATAAATGTATGTTCAAAGATGGATCCATTTACATGTGAATAAATTAATTCCAATGCATAATGTATCATAATTTTTCAGTAACTCTCCCTGTCTTCATCAGAATACCTTGGCTGTCCATTCCCTTTTCTCCTTATGTGGCTATATTGTGGCTTCTGTGTTTCTGCTTTTTTCAATCTACGTTATTTAATAAAGGTCTTTCCAGGTTTCTCTGTATTTGTCATATTTGCCAAGCAAAATTGCATTATAGTATTCCATTACATTAACATACCACAGTCTAGCCATTATTATATTATAGGACATGTAAGTTGCCTCCAGTTTTTTCATTTGTGATTTTTTTTACAATTATATGTAATACTTCCATGAAAGTCTTTGGATAGAACATTTCACTGACAATATTTCCATCAATTTCCCTGAATGACACATACATAGACTCCACCTATCACCTCTGAAAGCTGGAAATGTGAAATTTTTATTGGATTTAGAAACAGCGATATTTATTTGCCAAACGAATTTTTAATATGGTGCAGCACCCAGGGGAATCGTGCTTTGTAATTTATTATTTGGGCCTACTTGTAATCTTAATTACAAAATCATAGGTACTGGGCAGAAACCCAAGTAGGGACTTTGAATTCTACTCCAGAGCATATTCGTTACTTTTCTTCCTAAACTCTCCCCCAGCTCCTAACTTTCCAGTTACTATAGAGGGCAAGGCCATCCTCCCAATCCCTCAGGCTCCCAAACTAGGGGTCATCCTTCACTCCCACTACCTCTCACCTCCCATATCTAATCTGTTGCCAACGTCTGTTGATTTCACCATTGCAACATCTTTCAAATAACCCCCCTTCTCTCCTCTGACACTTCCCCTACCCTGGTGCAGACCCTCATTACCTAATGCTTATATTATTG